TATGTGTATAAGAGTGTATATCATCTATGCAGGACTCTATAAGACGTCATGAGAAGAAGACACAGCTTTTGTCTTCATCACAGGAATATTACTGTATATATCACCAACTCTATATTAAACTATACATTACATATGAAAAATGCACTACTGAACAAATGGGGTTTTAAATATTAAAAAGCAAAAACGACGTGTTTTGCCATGAAATGTGAAGAATTATGAACTCTCTTTACTCCAAAAATTTGTGTTATTAAAGTCAGTCAGCTGATCATACACATCGGAGGCCTTCACTTATAGCATGGCGATCAACAGAGAAAGCAGCAATCCAAACTATTACACGGGCAACGAACTCAGGGAGTGTCACTGACCATAGCCAGCGTTTGATGATATCAATAACCATTTCATGGCAAATTGAAAAGCTAATGTGTGATGCCTGTTGTTTAAAATTATATGTAAAAAGAACATAACAAGTGTGTGCTTCCAGAATGAGGTCAATCTGAGAACGAATTCACACTTCTCTACTGCAGGTTCAAAAGGGGTGGCACCTCTATAATCCCAAAAGCTCGGTTTAAGGATGTGTTTCTGTTGTCGTAGAGCAGTAGCTCCCCTCCAATCATAGAATTTTATTTCAACGCTACACCTACAGTAGCTGAGCTGAGGCATGTTAGCAAAGCCCCCTGAGCGCCTGTCCAATCACTTTAATCCCCGTGTTAAGACGACACAACAGCCACAAACAAGTGTCGGCCAGCTAAAGCTTCTTTCCAAAACGAAGGGCTGAACGTGTTTGCTATGGGGGGAGGGGGAGTTTCCACAGAGCCCATTTCCTACAGCAGGTCAAAAAACAGCTCAAAATCAATCTTGGAGTAAAAGCCAGCTTCTGCCGGATTACGGCCTGCAGAGCCCACAATCACTGATGCATCCTCAGTCACCAGACTCTGTGTAATTACAGAAGGGAAATAAACCTGCTGGAAACTAAGTAATTGAGAGGAGAATAAACAAAGTGCCCAACACGGTTGTTTTTTTTTAAAGAGCCTCTGGATTAAAGAGGGACAGGCTGGAAAACGAGAAGCAATCACAGCTACTAAATAAATTACAACACCCTGGGGAAATCGCGCCGAAAACGGGGATATGCTGTTTCACATCTTCCCAAGCATTTAAATCTAGTTAGATATTTATCGCTGGTGATACATAATGTTTATATATATATAATTGTTTGCATCGATTGCCTTTGATTTAACTTCTGCATCCAAATGGACAGTTTTCCATCATTTGCTCACATAGTGAAGCCCCTAAAGATCTTCAAAATGAAACTACAGCTTGCTGCCCTTGGCTGGCACAAAATTAAGTGCAATTGAGCTTGAGGTGCTACACTTTTCCATATGTCATACTCTGGGCTTTTTGCTAAAGGACATTTTTTAATCATCAGATTGCAGGCTTCTAAAATTCTTGATTTTTTCCTACCATCGTTATGAAATGAGAGGCTATAGGTTCTGGAGTACAAACAAACGTGGACACTAAGCATTAAACAACATTTTATTTTTTTTAATAAAACAATAATTTTTTTCAAAAGAAAGATTTTATTAGGTTAAGTGGGCTTTTAACATGTATACAGTACCTCCATCCTCAATAGAGTAAGAAACAGTGAGTCAAAACATGACTGTTTGAGATATTACACCGCAGCGCAGTCAGATAATGGAAGTTTATTTCTAAAGTACTTGAAATTTTGTTTTTCCTCAACAGGAATTTGAGTTTTTTTTTCTGTTCGGTTTCCTTTAAGGACGTAGCTGCTGTATGTGAAGCGTAATCTCAGCAATAAAATGTATATATTCAATACAGGTCCTCTACATGGTACAAATGAAGTGGGCCGAGACTCCTCAATACTGCTCTACAATCTGACCCTAGGGAGGGCGCTCCCTGAGCTCTCTCTCTCTGTTCATTGACTGAAGACCATGGCTATTACCCTGAAGTAGCTTGATGCGCTCTTGACTATCGATTGCCTAGGCTGGAGCCCTTGACTGTGTGCAACCAGCTGCTTCTGTTAATTTTGCATGGAGATTTCCTGACACAAAAAAGAGAGGATTCGCTCTTCCCCCACAGAATCTAAATGAGGGGAGGTCAATGTCCTCTAGTGCGTAGAGCCACCCCTAACTCATCTCTGAGAAAATGAACCACTTCATTTTTGGTAAAAACTGAAATCAAACAAGTAAGCCTTAGAAGAAACATTTTTACAAGTTTTATAGAGCGGTCATGAGGGCAGTGATTTTTCATTGATTTTTTTCATTGGCTAATGAAAAATCAGTCTGAGGGCAAAAACTCATTTCACATTTGCTTGCAGTTAAGGGTTCTCGCCTGAGGACACAAGTAGAAATTAAGAGCACAACACGCGTTTAGGACTGGGGGAAAAAAGTGCTTCTTTTCACAAAGGGGGGGCTTTCCACAATCCGCTAAACCAAGATATTAAATGGAGTTTATATCAAAAGTTTAGGAGGGCTGACAACAGCCAAGTTAATTCAACCTCAGATGACAGTAATTTGTAAACATTCCTGACCTCATTTTCTCACATAAAAACTATAAATACTACATGTCATCTCCTTCTCTCCCTTGCTTTGGCTTTCCTCCTCCACCATATCCCCAGCTTTGCAGCCTCCCTCTGCCAAGTGGGTTAGGCCAAATTTACTGTGACTACAACAGTCTATAAACCTTCAATTCACTTAAGTCTTTGTTGTTGTTATCCCTAGTGCAAGCAGATTCCTTAGACTCTTTCAAGAAATGATGAGTGAGATCTCCAGATTAGCTTCCAGCAAACCCACACAAACAAACGGGCTGAACGGCTGCCTCTTGTTTGTATTTTTACACACGAGCTTCAAAAAGGTCTTGACTTTAGAAGGGGTTTTGAAAGTGCAAAACCAACTGACACAGTAGGTTTAGCTTCCTAATTGAGAGTCCAGGTAAGAAAGCAATGAAGTTGCTTTGGGTTTTTAGGAGATCTTAGTCAGCAGAACGAGACTCCAGATCTTAATAATAATTGCTTACACTTATATATTGTAGCGCTTTTCTGGACACTCCACTCAAAGCACTTTACAGGTAATGGGGATCCCCTCCACCACCAGCGTACAGCCTCACCTGGATGATGCGACGACAGCCAGAGGTCGCCAGTACACTCCCCACACACCAGCTCTCAGTGGGGAGGAGAATCGGAGATGGGGGTAATTAGGAGGCTATTATGACTGGTAAAGGCCGGGGGGGATTTGGCCAGGGCACTGGGGTAACACCCCAACTCTTTTCGAGAAACACCCTGGGATTTATAATGACCACAGAGAGTCAGGACCTCGGTTTTAAGCCTTTTGTTTAGGTACATATAGTGTCCCCATCTCTATACTGGGACAATAGGATACACAGTGATCTTCCCTAGAGGGACTACCAGCACACCTTGATCCTCAGATCTTCTGCAGACAGGGATTCCCACATCAAGGTAACCCATGATGTGAAAACATCTGCACACACAAAGAAAGAAGAAAAGCAGAGAAGCACCCAGGCTAATCTCTGCGTAATGTGATCCCGCAGCCACTACCTTGCACAATAGTTTTTAATAAATCATTAAGCACATTTTTTAGACCTTTAGAGACTTTCTCAGATGTGAACATCATTCTGTTTTGATGAAGCACGATACATCCTCCACACATTCAATTCAATGTATATCCCATCTTAATCCAAGCCCATTAGCTCTGGATTCACAACCAGTAACACACTGATTAAGTATTTACATGTACAGTATTTCCTCTGACTCAAGCCTAGCTTTTTTGTATGATTTAGTTAGGTTGAGGGAATTAAGCCTCCCCATACCTTTGTTTAAAGGGTTGGGACGCGGATTAAGAACAGAGGCAGGAAACGAGTCCCTAATCCCTTGCGTAAGGGTACATGTGTAGAGCAAAGTGAAAATCGCATCAGTCTGAGCCTGACAAATAAACACGCGGCACAAAAGAGCGATTTCACAAAGTGAGGAGCAAAGCAGCTCACTGATCCTGTTGGATATATGTGTAAATGTCTCTTAAAATCCAGAGCCCCTCTCCCCGCTGGCTGTCCCCTGTGCAGAATATTAGCCGAATCAGAATTTCCTACCTGAAGGCAGAATAAAATGTCAAGAAAAATGAACAAATCTATTCAACCGGCATATGGTATTGACTGCACATATGGGAGATCAGACTTTGGGCAGAGATTCAATAACTCAGCCACGCTGGAGCACATTCAATATCTCCGCCATGGTGGAACAGATGCGACACCTCAGTCACATGGCGTTGTGTCTCTCCTGCCTCCTGAAGCCCAACCCCACCAACGACACATCCTCATTCATTCACCACATCTCCAGCTCGCCCAGGCTGAACCGTGCTCGCATCTCGGCTCGATCACAATTGTAGCAGACAAGGATAAAAAAAACAACCGTAAACATTATTTAAAAAACAAAGCAACATTGTTTTGGTTTCAAGTTCGAGCAATAAGAACTGGGAAGGAATTTCACTGGCTTTATTTTGCCTTAAAATGGCCAATCCTCAGCAAAAGATCAGCACGGATATGACCATGGACAAAAATAAATTCACACAGATTGTAGTGCACTTAAAATGACTATAAATAACACAGCTCCTGTTTTTCCCTCCTCTTACTCACGATTTCCTGATTCTCTATCAACTTCAAAACTCATCAATCCCTTCTAAGTGCCTAAAGGTTTTGGGGGTGTGCGGGATGTTGTTTGCTTGGTTTCCAACATACACCATATTCACTGACATTTCTAAGAAAAATACATCTTGAAGGGAAATTCCTCATTCTCATTATTTCCTCAGAATTCTTTCATTTCAGAAATACAAAATGGGAAAAATAATTTAACCCATTTATATAACAGGGTAATTTCTTCAGGACTTTCCCACAGAGCCTGCAGACAGATGCTCACACACCAAAACACACACATCAGGAACACAAAACTGGGCTCCAAGTACATGGGAACAGCTTACCTTCATTAGTACAGACTCGCTCAGTTTCTCTCGATTCACAATCTTTATTGCGACCTTCTGACACGTGACACAGTGGACTCCGAGCTTCACCAGCCCTGCACACAAGACAAAAATGACAGATCAGGTAAGAAAGAAAGCCCATGACATGCTCATGACAGAATACACAGCCTCTTTAACCAAGATAATGAGGAACCCCAAATCAAATGGATAGATAGATTGTCTCAGTGGCAGACAATGTGTGGGTGAGATTGAGGATCTGAAGATGGGAGTTGCCTCAACGTCCCAGGTGAGACGAGTCCCACATCCCAATGCTCTGGAAAACCGGTGGAATGTACAGCTGGATTCTCCTCAACACAACCTCACCTGAAGGTCATGCTGACAAAACAACTGGGAAAGAGCAGGAAGTATTTCAGGAAGTACTTGTTGAACTGTGCTAGCTGCTTGATCATGTCCATCATGCGGGACAGATTCTTACAGTAAGTCTGGGCTAAATGGTATAGTGAGAAAATGATCTGTTTCTCACTATACTAGTGTCAGAAACGAACACCACTCACACAACAGAGGGGTTTCTGTTTAAACAAAACCTGATTGTCTAGAGGTAAATACTGTACATGAAGTGTCCTGAAAGTCATTACCCCTTTCAAAACAGGTATAAAAATCAGAAAACTGCTTATCCTCGTGAGGGAAATTGAAAACATGGCACTGAAACCAGAAATTACTTTTGATCCACCTCAGAGTTTTTTTGGAAAGCAAAGTTTACCCTGCAGTTAGAAAGAGTGAGGAAAATATACAATGAGGCAAAAGCTTTGACAAGACAAATAAATAAAAAATATTACAGTCTTTTGGCTTTAGCCCATTAATTATTGAAGTGTACGAACAGCCCTATTATTAAACCATTTTATTCAACATCTCATGGTTTTCATGCTCTTAATGATCACTTTTACTTTTGAGTCAGATGCTTTTTGAACATTTTTACTTTGAATTGAAACTTTTTCATTTTGCATCATAAACTAAAAATCCTTGCGTCTCTATCCCCTGAGCCTTACGATGTATATTGCAGAAAGCGAACTGGTAAACAAGTAGAGTCGATTGATGCTTAAAGTCCGAAAAATAGGCTTCAGCCCATTATGTGCAGAATCTCTTATTTCCCCCCAGAGCACCAACTATGGAAAACAGCTTTATTTTCTCTTTTCCCGTACCCTGGGAAAAAATATGTTTTACTTTGAAATGTGTATTTCAACATTATTTATCAATGCTCTATAGCTGATTTCCCACATGGCTGAGAAGGCTGGCAACTTAAAGAAGATCTTATTCTTGAAAAGGCCGACATGGTCTGCTTTTACAAGGAATATTCTTATTTTATACTGTATATCCATATCAATTCTAATCGAATAAATACAATCAGTTCTGCGCTTCATCTCTCTTCATAATTCATTGATTATTTTAAGTGATGGGGAATCCAAAATATGTTGACGTAAAACAGATATTCCTGTACTCTATAAAATGTGCTAAATAGCCATAAATCATGCTATTGTGCTACACTTTATGTACTGTAGCAGACACATAAGCCCACGCACTTTTACAATTCCTTTTAATAACATTCAGTCACTATTAGATGTTAAAGCCTAGTCATGTTACAGTGCTGCTGTCTTCCTGACGAAAAGAAGCAACCAAACCAAACAACACTGCCGGACGAATAGAGAAATAGGAAAAAAATCAGTTGAGAAAAACAAAAGCTTCAGCAAAAGCTTCAGTCCAATGAGGATGTTTGAGGATCATTTTCCTTGCTTAAGCATCACACTGTGACAGTGTGTAAGGGTGAATGGTGAGTAATGGCATAAGGCTCAGTATCTGAGATCCACAAAGCGAACTGTGTAACAGGTTATTACAGGTTAGTTTTAACCAACTGATGATGTGTTGTTGCAACAGTAATCCTGATCAGTACGAGAGGAACCGCAGGTCCAGACTCTGGGTGTCTGTTCTTGGCTGAGGAGCCAGTGAAGGGAAGCTGGCATCCGTAGGATCATGACTGAATGTCTCCAAGTCGGAATCCCCCCTAAAAAGGTGGCACATGAGGGGGTCGGTCTCTCAGCTGTCTGGCAAAGGACGCCTGCCCATGCTGCGCCCCCGCTCTGCAGTGACCCCAGAGAAAGAGCCGCCACTGGAGCTCACAGGGTGCCGAGAGCTCGCGGGCAGACACGGCAGTCACCCCTGAATCAGCCAGCGATTCCACCACGAACAGCAGCCAGCAATCCCAGAGGAAGAGGGTGATGGCACAGAAGACAAAGCCCAGAAAGTCTGCATGCAAGACCAACGGTACACGGAGTCAAACAAAAGCCTTCATGGGCTGAGACCTCTCCGCACACGAGAGTGCTGACAGATCCTGCACTAGATCTCCCAGTCTGCAGCGGAAGGTGAAGGGTGGAGAAGTGTGGTCTGCCCTCTGACCGGACACGAGTGCCGGGCTCCTGCTGGGGAGCGGAGCCGGCAATCTGAGGGAAACCAGGATCAGGGATGAGGCGCCTGCTAATCCATGGAAACCGAGATCCTGGAAGAGCGCAGCTCTCTCCACGGGCCCGCGGAGCGAGAAAGAGGACGTTAGTCAAATAGCGCCATGCAGGTAATTAAACACCAATGAAAAGCAGGGGGTGTGGGCACTGGGCCCATCACCACACGCACTTATGAGGCCAACTGCAAAGGGGACTCTGGTTAAATCTTCAACGCAATCAGAGCCGAGCCAAAAACAATGTCACTTTGAACCCTTTTTCCCAACTGTATTATTTCATCTCCATTTTTCCCTTTCACCGCATTTCTTTCTTAATGCAATAAGCTTTATATTCTATATGCTACTAGAAAAGAGCGAATAATAGCAGTGCTCCCAGTATCGACAGCCCCCCAATATCTTCCCAGCCCAGTGCTCCAGGGGGCTCAGTGAGTGGTCAGTAACTGCAGCCTCAGAGTTCCTGAGCCATGCTCCTGTGCGCTAGTGTCATTGTACAGTACAAATCCACTCATCCATTTTTGGTCATATCTTTCTCCTTGGAGAGTTGAGGTTCAAAAATTACTGTACCAATTTGAATAGGAAATCTGAAATTTCAAACACAGCATTGTCCCAATTTAGAATCAGAACATTAAGGTGTACTCAGAGGTAAATAAAATACCTTCAGCTGCCTTCTTATAGAATCACACACACACACCACATCCACACATCACAGATCCTCAGAAATGTCTTGGGGTCACTTTCACTACAGCTGGAAAACGATGGAGAGAAAGCCTGAGAGAGACACAGCAGAGAGGTAGGAGTAAAGACTCCCGTTCTGTACCATCAATCACGAATCCAGGACTCTCCAGATTCTGTCACCATGACTTATCTCTCCACAAGAAGAGCTCTTCGGAGGTTTCCCTTAGTCCGTAGTGAAGGAATATTACCAGGTCACTCACTGCCAATCACGAGTCTGACCTGAAATAAAAGCCTTCCTTCAGCTTAGCAGTAAGGTCAAGAGAGTTTCAAGGGAATTCTTTTTTTTCCTTAATAACACAGCACTCCAACTGGCATTGGTCTCCACCACCTCTGGCAATCGGCAAACACAAAATGAAACCTCACTTTGACATGCAGAGTCAAAACCCAACTTGAACTTGCCACACCTCTGATGAACAAGAAGGCACAGATGGTATTCTGTCTCAATGTCAATGTCATCGAAAGATCCTCCAGCATCTAAATATTTATTGAAGGTCGGACACACAGGCTATGGGATTTCACTGCAATGGCCTCTGTGCTGCAGCTGCTGCAGATCTGTTGCTGTCCAAACCCATGCCAAAGGAAAGCACATGCCTGATAACCACACCCTGATGGTTCCTGCCATCCCAACCCTGACCCAATTGCCCGATACAATCCGCCAACCCCCTCTGCGCCCCCTCTCACACCGACATCCCCTCTCTCTGTGCCAGCCTCCCAAGACACTGCTCTCTTCATAGCAAGATGTTCTCTATCTCTATCTCTTAGTTTGCCACTAAGGCCAGTTATAGGCTGAAAAGGCCTGTGGGGAAAATAAAATTAAAGTTTTAGTCAACACACCCAACACGATCAAGCTGCGATATCAAAATAATTCATTCACGACCATAAACAGACAGAATAATCTTGACTGAAATGTGGTCCAGACAGCAGCCCCGGTCCCTGTCACCTGCCCACTTCGTCTGGACCAATCGGGTGCATGCTCCCTAGAGTCTGATGTTACTATGGCGACTTTCCTTTTCTGCGTGATACCCTGATAACAGATGACGCCACAAACACAAACAGGGACAACGAAAAAGGGCAAAAGCCTCTGGAAGCTAACTCCACAAATGCGCATAAGTAACAGAAAGTGGAGAAATAATGTCTTGCAGTTAAGCAGTCACTGACGATTTTCCCTCTGTACCTACAGTAGCACTAAATAAATAGTGCAACTACTGGACCCAGCACTAAAAACATACTGGAGATAATGCAGGACCAAGGATTAGCAAAAAGAGTGCACTCGCTGCACCTAGCACTAGTAAATACACACAGAGTACAACTAAAGCAGTGTAGAACCACAATTCAGAACTGGCCAATGATTTTAGGTATGTAGGTCCCTTTTCAGGCCATCAAGGCCCATGAGGAATGGGGGCAAGGGCCACCATTTTTCCTGACCATCCGACACTGGACGTGGCTGAATCCAACAGAAGGATTAACCCCAGCTACTCATGTGGACCTGGGAGCTGTCTGGAAAGAATGAGAGCTACATCGTTTGCCCCTTCCTGGGATCGAACCCGGGACCTTCAAGTCAGGAGCTAGTCGCCCTTGCCGACTGAGAGCCTTGCTACCAAGGCTCTCGGCCAATGATTTTACTCACCCTAGTTCAAATGAGCAGTCTACAAGGAAACTGTTGTCCTAAAGACATTATTCTATAATCTACTGCATCACATCATCTCAGGAAAGAGCATCGGTTATGATTTTTGGTTTAAAAAAAACTGGAGAAAACTCCAGAGAGGGATGAAGAGTAATAATAAGAGTGTAGGTCGATTATACAAGATTAGCTGTGGAAGAAGTTTTAATTGTTTAAAGATAAATCTGTATAGC